TCTCTCTTCTTCCTTATTCTTCCTCTTTGAAACCCAGATCTGGGTTTCAAAAAAAATTTATAATTTGCGAGATGAAATCGTCGAACTATCCTATTTTAGTTTCAGAGCTGTTTTGATTGCTATAGATATTTTCTTCATTTGGTGTGTTTCTTTTGCGGTAGATAGATAACTGTAAAATTAATGCGAAATCTTGTTTTTCCATTTGTGGGTTTCATTCTTCTTCTGGGAATTGAGAATTCCTTCAAAATTATATGATTCTCCTTCTCCTCAGATTCTACTCTTTTAGATTTCTCTTTATCAAAGGTCGAGATTCTACTTTTCCAACTGTTTGCTCTTTTATATTCTTAACAAGTTTGAAATCTATTTTCTGGATTTTAATTGTAAACGTTCTAATCTTATAATTTGAAAAGTTTTAATTTTTAATTTTGATTTTTTAAATCTAGCCACTAAGAGTATGATCTGAGAATGTGGGATTTGTTAGATTTCTATAACTGGGGAATTGGCATGTTTGATTGTTCTTGTTTACATGCATATTAATTTTATCAAAAGAATAGCATTGGATTCTTGTCTTACTCTAAATTGTGATTGGTATTGGTATGCTGCAGAGTTCTACAGAGTTTGTTTGAAACCTAGATCTGGGTTTCATTACAATTAACAATTAAAAATTTTTCTAGGAAACCCCCAACGAAAAATACATACTATTTCTTCTCGTCTATTGAATCGATCATAACCACTGCCTACATTCCAAAGCTTCTTGGCCGTTTGAGAAAACCTAGAGCTTGGGTTTGCAAAGGTAAGAGAGAAGGAAAGGTAAAGGAGAGAAAATGAAAGAGGAAGAAGAAATCTGACGTGGGTGAAAAAAAAAAAAAGAATTATTATTTTTAAATTAAATGAAAATGCCAACTCATAAAAAAAATACCAACTATGTGTTTTTTTTCCATGCCATTAGTTAAGAGAAAAAAAAAAAGAATTGATTTGCTGGCATTTTAACGTGCCACCTGTCATTTAACTGACGGAAGGATCATTTTGGTACCGAAAATGAAAATTTAAGGATAATTTTGATACTTTTTAAGGCTGAAGGACAATTTTGATACTAAAATGAAAAGTTGAGGGACCAAAATGATACTTAAACCTTATTTTACCAATATTACCAGCAATTTTTAAGTATCAGATTACAATTTGAAAAACATCAGACAGAATTTTTTTTTTTTTTTAATCTAGGCAAGAGAAGGCCGTACAGTAACAACAGAAAAGGAGTTAAATTAAAATACCCCAGCCCTAGCTAGCTCCTCTTCATCGTCAAGTCCTACGCACTGCAACTCTTTCGCTCGCGTGGCTGCTGCTCCGAACCTTCTAGAGGTATCACTTCTGTTTCCATTTGAGTTCTTTGCTTATCGTTGTTTCTGCTATGGCGAATTACATGGTATTCTCATGTTATAGCGATCTTGTTTTAGCTGTTCTTGCTTGCAATGTCGAATACATGAATTCTGGTTCCAGACTTCATCATTCGACACAAATTTTCTCTAATTTTTTGAATTCATTAACTTGTTATTTTAATGGTTATTCATTTCAACTCTAAAGTCCCTGTTTGTTTCCTGGGAAAAGTTTTCAACTTTTGAAAGAAATCGAATTACATGCTCAATCAATGTTTTTTGACCTAAGTTTAGTATGATATTCTTTACTTTTTATTTATTAGATTTTTTTACAGTACAGTTACAGACTTTTTATGCTGATATAGTGCATAAAGAAATGGCATGTATTTTTATGCTAACAGTTTTTTTTTTTTTTTTAATGGTAATTGTTATGCTAACAGGTAAAAATTCACAATTATGGCAATTCAAGTTTTATGTTCCACGACCTTTGTGATCCCCTGTTACTCTTTTAGATGTTAAAATTAGGATTTTTAAAAAAATCAGTTTTTGTTCCATCTTGCATAAGAAAGAAGGATGCAAGTTCTGAAAATTGTTTTACAGACTTTACTAGTTTTAAGAACACAGCCTGTTAGTAAAGGTTTGTTTGGTTTCTATGAATGTGAATGCTGTACCTTATTATATTTTGTAGTTTGTCACGTTCATTCCTTAGATTTTGAAGCCGTATGTTTGGTGATGTAGGATTGCATGCAATTTCTTTCCTTTTAGATGGAAAACAGGCCAGATCCAGATATCGATGATGATTTCAGTGAAATTTATAAGGAATACACTGGCCCACTAGGATCTACTACAGCTAACAGTGTACAAGACAGAGCAAATACAAATAAGCGATCTAATGCAGGTTCTGATGAGGAAGAGGAACAACGCGACCCCAATGCTGTCCCTACAGATTTCACCAGCCGGGAAGCTAAGGTTTGGGAGGCTAAATCCAAAGCTACTGAGAGAAACTGGAAGAAGAGGAAAGAAGAAGAAATGATTTGCAAAATATGTGGAGAATCAGGTCATTTTACTCAGGTACATCACATCCTACAATTCTATAGAAGTGTTTCCTTAGTCTGTGTGCATTGTGAGATTTAATGTGATTCACCTTCAGACAATCTGACAACCATACCAGTTGCATGGTAAATCGCCTTCATATAAATGTTTTGGCTCCATGCTGTGGTTGTAGGTGTAATTTTTATTTCCTGCTGCCTAATTTGGACCTCAAATAAGCTTTGAATTTTGTCTGAGCTAGGATCTTATTAAGTTCCGTTTCAGCCTAGTGCTTGAAATTCTTAAAGTTCTGTACGGAATACAGCTTCTGTCTGATCAGGGTTTTTATTCTTTTTAATCTTTTGCCTTCATTCTTAAGGAGGTTGGATAGCTGGTAATGTTTTGATCTTTATTTGCTGTCCCTTTTGAGATGTTTGTAGGGATGCCCCTCTACTCTTGGTGCAAATCGCAAGTCTCAAGATTTCTTTGAAAGGATACCTGCCAGAGATCAGCATGTAAGGTCACTTTTCACAGAAAAAATAATGCAGAGGATTGAAAAGGATATTGGCTGCAAAATCAGAATGGATGAAAAATTTATAATAGTCAGTGGCAAGGATAGGTTGATTTTGAAAAAGGGTGTGGATGCTGTACACAAAGTAAAGGAGGACGGCGATCCAAAGGGTTCTAGTTCTCACAGAAGTAGATCAAGGTCCCTTGAGAGAAGCCCTGTTGGTGCAAGGCCAAGACGCCCTGAATCACAAAGGCCTCGTTCAGGTCCACATAATTCATCCCAATTTCAACCACGATTTGGCAGACAAAATAAGGTTCTGGAGGACCGTGTTCGTGAGGATTTACGGAAATTTCCTAGAGTTTCTCCACAAGGTAGGAGCAGCATACAATATGTTTATGCCATCCGTAGGAAGCTGGTAATCCCAGTCTTGTAGCTTAGCCCTGTAGGCTTTCATATTGAATTCTTATTGTTGCTTGTGATTTGCTTGCAGCAAGAGGTAAGTTTGTGTACAAGCATTATGATTCTGAAGTAACTTTCCTGGGTGGGTCTGAATTGAAGGGTTGTCTCCAAAACAAAATTGTTTACTGAAAGCATATGTGGCCTGCAACAGATGGGTTCACCATGTGAATATAAGATAGTTTGTGTAGTTAAAGCTACATCTATGCTAGCATCTCGAGTCAAGTGCTTAACATACTATTCATTTCATGAAGCTTATGTTAACGATGGAGCTAGGAGTCGTTCAAGCAATTCTAAATCTCCAGGGCGTCCCCTCTATGCTGGCAATGCATATAATTCTTATGATGGTCATAACCAGAGCATGGGAAGTTATAGACCTGATGTATGGGATACTGAGAGGCATGTGTCAAATCTGCAATCTGGGCCTCAGTTTGAATACTCTGCCTTTCCACAGACATTAGAAGACTTGGAGTTGGAATATAAGAGAGAGGCAATGGAACTTGGAAAAATCCATGATAAGGAAGAAGATGAAGAGAATTGCAAACATCGGGAGGTAAGAAACTTATCCTGTATTACTGTGGTTCATGCTCTGTGGCTAACAAGCTTCTTGGACAATCATAGATCTTTCTGGAGATGTCCTATACTTTTAGCCCTGTAGGACCTTCATGGCACGGAGTGTGCTTATAAACAAAGAAGTATTATTCTGTGAAGTTGAATGCAGCTTTCATTATTTGCCTTTCTTTCTCTGGTTCTCCTGTGTTTGTATATGTATTTTTGACTTTTAATATTTTCCAACTTCAATAAATACCATGAAACTTGGTTCTGAAAAGATTAAGATGTTTGTTCTTGCTCTATCTTGTAATGGAAGACATAAGGCTGCTAATGCCTTCCATAGGTAAGTATGGAAATTTGTTTGGCCTTTTATGATTTTTGCATCCTTTCAAGGCTGAGGTGTATGATATTTATATTTGATTATTGGAGCTATGGACACGGAAACTGCTGGAATATGCTTTTTGCGGCCCTCTTTTGTGAAAAATTAAATCCTCTTGGGACAGCAATGCTGCTGTTCGCTGTATCAATCAGGTAATTCTGATTTCTGACTTATAGTTCTACGGCTTTTAGACTATCAGGGAGATGAGAGAGAATTACATGAAGAAACTGGCCATGCTAAGGGGATCACAAGCAAAACAATGGGAAGACTTTCTTAAATTTGATGCACAAAGACGCCAGCAACAGGCACGACAGCAAATGTCTGCTTCAGGTTTTGGTGCTTATAAACAGCAAGCTTATTCTGAATATGATGGGTCCTCAGTCAATCATCATGCTGGAGCCAATTTACCCATGGATTCAAGGGGTAGGTACCCAACCCCTATGGAAAATTATTCTTCAAGGCCTCATGACTCTTATAGTGAGTTTCAGCGTCAGAGGCGAGAAGATTTTGGGAAAGCTTACAATCGGTACTAGATCAATGAACTGGTATTTTGGTGAGTTGTCTCACTCTTTAATAAGTAAAGGGGAAAAATTACCGTTATCTGTTCGTTTTGGTTTGTTGCCCGAGTGTTTCATCCATGGTATGTTACATGCTGCATAAGATGTTGTTTCTTGGTGGGAGTAAGAAATTGTCCAATTGCTTTGATCATCTCTGGATGATTCATTCTACAATTATTTGCAAGAAAGAGGAAGGTTTGGGATGTTAGTCTAGGGTTTTAGTCAGGCAGACATGGCTGATAATGGTGTTGCTTTTTATAAATTTTCAATATTTTGTTAAGCTCTTTTAGCATTAGCTTAAAGTTTTACTCGAAAAATTTTTCAGGGTCCACCAGATCTTGGTCAGGTATGTGGTAATGCACAGGGGAGATCTGATCTAGGTAAGTATGTTTGGTTATTGTATTGAACCAGTGTATGAAGGGAACACTGATCTAATGGGTTACTGCAGTTTGTTCCAGTTTTTAACTCTCTTAGTCCAGTTCTGTTCAGAACCCTTTTATTGTAAGGAAGCCATATGAGTTTTGGCTTGTAAGTTAGGCTGATATATTTTGGATTGACTTTTTTCTGATTGATTGTTCATTTGCATTAAGGGTAATGGACTTATCATCTTAGTTGATGTTGGAGTTGCCTTCTCCATTTTGTTTATTATCCTGCTTTAAACATTGCCCACCTGGCCATGCACCCCCTTTGCGGTGGTGGTAACTGTCATTTTTCCTCTGGGAAAAGATTGTTATCTGGTATCTCTATGGATGGTAAAGAAATTTAATCTGATCAGCCACTCTGAAGCATTGAGGAAAATCTAGTGATATTTATTTTCTTGCCTCATTATTTTGGTTTCTATAGCTGTGAAGTTGGGTCAGTTTCTCTTGATGACATCCTTGATTGAGTATTTTATTTCATATCAAGGAAATTCATATGCTTGCCCTGAACGCATAAATGCTTTTTGATCTTCTTGGTGTTGCCTTTTTGACTTGAGACTCCTGCAAATATTTCTCCATAAATATCCAGGTTGGTGATATTGTGGTGATATCAATGTATGATTTGCCAGCAAAAGAGATGCATGCCACGGTAACCTTTATGGTTCATGCCACAGGACCAAGTTAAATGCTTCTAGTTGTAAGAGTCTACATGCTCCGCTCAAAAGGTAGGAATTCATGTCCGAAACTTTTAAGTTTATGAATCAGAAACATCTAGAATTCAAATTCACTGGTAGCACTAGTTCTTCCTTCCTCGAGATTGCCACCATAAGGGAAGTCGTGTTGTCTTCAATCTCTAAACTAAAACTGCCTTTTTATTTTCCCAATCCTCGTGTCATGAATGCAGCCTTATGGCTTCCCAAGACTTAACCTCTATACAAATAGTCATTGAAGAATTGGGTCAAAAAATAGGGTCAGGAAAATGGCTAAAGCATACCTGGTTCACTACTGTGGCAAAATCATAGAAACGACGGTAACAGAGAATGCTTCTATGGCCGAAAATTGGGTGTTCAACATCCAATCTGGTTTCAGCGAGCAAAGGATCAATATTGTAGGATTCAACTGTAAATGGAAGCCTCACCCGATAGAATCCATGGGTGGCAGAATCTCCACCTTGCAACTCTGCGTGGACACCAGGTGTTTGGTATTGCAGATCTCCCGTTTGAACAACATTCCAGAGTCAATCAAACACTTCTTTAGTGATTCCAATGTTGTTTTTGTGGGAATTGAGGTTAAGAAGATGGTTACCAAGCTTCAGAACGAGTACGGACTGAACTGCACTAACAAGATTGATGTTCGTCACCTGGTGAAAATGCCTTTCCCCGTGAGCTTCTGCATGAAACCCGGTCTGAAAGCTCTTGCCAGTCAATTGGTGGGATTGCATCCATGGAGATCGAAAAAAGGACGCCTGAATCTTGACATGGACACAGGAGTTCTTGAGAAGGAGCAGATCAAGTTTGCTTGCGTTGATGCCTATGTTTCTTATAGGATTGGTAAAAAACTACTCTTAGAGATGCAGTAAATGATGGTCAAGTTTCTATATGGAAGCATTAAACCAAAAAAAAAATTATAACAACTCTAGCTTTTGGGTTTTCCCCATTAAAACATATAGCTACATATACCCTGTTCAAAATTCACTTTTAATTCTTCGGCGTTGACTCCATAAATAGATGGTCTTTGGACTGAATTAATCTCGATAAGCTTGTTGCATTATATAAAAATTTTAAAATAATATAATTGCAATGTCATATAACATTATAAGATTAAAAAAAAAGGTGTTGTTACTATGAAACTGAATGTCTTTTAATTGCGTTCAGCTCTCTTTTTTCAACTCCATCCCAAGATCCTTCTTCAATTTTCTTCTTATGCTGGATTTTCTTCAATGTATTTAGAGAGTCACCTGATTTTAGGGATGGCAATTTCCTTTACAATTTGTAGAGCTCTGTGGATATTCTCATCGTAGAGACGGAGATTCTCAAAATATTCTTCCCTATAAAGCAAGGATGGAAGCAATTTTTCTCTCGTAAAATTTCACAAGGGATTTCCCTTATTTTGTGGATCCCATGAGAAATTGTAAATTAATAAAGAATTATAAATTTTATTTTTATAAATTATAATAAATTCGAACATCTCAATTCTCAAATCCACAAATCTTAACTACAAACACTTTGACCCTCTCATCTCTCCTCTCTATTGCGTCTCTTTGTTTAATATGTTTCCCTTAATTTGAATTTAGCTTACTTTATTATTTTTTTTGGTAAAGTGTACTTTATTTTATTTAATTTGATTCATTTTCTAACAAAAAACTTAGAAATAACTATTTTTTTAAATGCTTTTGGACTTTTTTTCTAATCAAAGGATTGAATGAATCAATTTATTTTTGTATATAATCAAACAAAAAAAAAATATTTTTGTATACTTTTGTGAGAATGAAAAATCTTTACAAGGACCCTTCATTCCACTCTAGCATGGGGATGGAGGGCATTTTTTGCCCTCCACCAAAAATCCTTACATGGATCTCCATATCCGCCAATGATAAGAATGGAGAAAAGGAGGGGTCTCCATCCCGCGGGGATTTGTTGCCATCCTTATTTGATTTAGTGTATAAATACTTCAATAATAATTTATTAAAAGTGTGTAGATCTAGAGTCTCAAGATTAATTAATGCTTTAAGTGTTGACCATTGTAAAAAAAAAAAAAAAAGAAGTTTTTTAGAAACACACTTGGTCCAAAAATTGAACTTTATTATTAAAGGGCCAAATTAAATTTGAGTAAAAAGTTGAAGGACTTGAAATTTCAATTACAATGTTTTTTTTTTTTTTGGGTTGGGGAAGGATGGTTTCCTTTTAAGGCCAGACCATAACCATTCCCTCAATGAGACAGAAAATCCAAACATATTCACATGCAATATGGGCTAACTTTTGATTCCCATGGGCCCAGGCATATTAGGTCAGGTCAATGGTCAATTGGTCATCACATCACATGGGCCATGAGGCATTTTGGTGAAGATTCCATGAATGTTCTCATCCGACTTTCAGTCCTTGCCGTGATTTATGGTTTCAATTTTAATTAATTTATTTATTACTGTTTTCTTTTTTAACATGAATTTTCAAGTTACTCAATTTTTTTAAAATTTAAGGCCGTGATCGGGTTGATAGTAACTTGGTAAGTATGTGTTTTTTATTTTGATTGTACAATAAAATATAATTATTTATTATCTCTTATTCTATTCCATTCACATATCATACGACTTGAATTCAAAATCTTTTATTTTAACGGAAAGAAATAACTATT